GTTGTAAAATCGCTGATTGTGACTATCTGAAAGCGAATTTGACAGGTTTTATGAGTCAAACACTTGCCTTTTATCCTCTTCTTGTATCTAACAAGTACAAAATATGATTAAAACATCGAATGATTTCAAAATTCAGAAAATCATGTTTTTATAGCAAGTGAGTGGAAGCAACCCTGATCCCAGGTAGTTTTCAAGATACCAGGTATTTAGAAATTATTTTAAAGCCCTTCATGTGATCTTTGATCTCAAAAAAATGTTTAAGATTTTCGAAGACAACATATCAAAAAGACTGGCAACTTTGCCTGAATCCAAGCGACAGACACATTAGCGCTGCACTCGAGCAAAGGTGGAAGCCTTGCATAGAAAAATGGGCAAATACACAAACTTTTATTCTGAGGATAGAACCTTTGGTATCCAATTCGTTCGAAGCATTTACCTTTGAGCGGCAGATGTAGCGATTATGCCTGTCTCATACCGGACGTATGAGAAAATGGAAGAGTTGCCAGTCTTATTGATATGTTGTCTACGCTTCAGATTTATCAGGTATCATTCTGAAGAGCTTCAACTGAAACGTTTGTTGTGCTGTGCTGTGCAAAAGATCACTTTAAAAATTTCCTAAAAATTAACAACAGGTCATGAAAAATCTACATTTACGCTGTCCTCGATTCGTAAAAGTTTGTAACGGGAAACGATAGACATTACAACCCTTGAGAAAGACCACAACCAAACGGTCGAAACGTCGGGAATATAAAAAAAATAATCGTTTTTACTAAAAGACTGAGAAAGCCACCCCATAAAGTGATTCCAATCAACCAGTCGAAACCACCATTAGCATTCTGAAGATCTAAAACCACCAAACAATTCAAATCACCTCTCCCAGATATTCTCTCAAATAACAGGTTGCTAGGAAGTTATTTCAAAGACCTCCAAGTGATAAGAGATTTGCAAAATGTTCTCAGGATATTTGCTCAAGTCATCAGCTTGATCATGAATGATTTTGAAGATCTTCATCTGCCCAATCTTTCAAATCACATCTCTCAGATATTATCTCAAACAGCAGGTTGCTCAGATTTTTTAAGGTTATCACACAAGAAGCGCCGGTAGTATAGTGGTAAGCTTGATTGTATCTCATCCTAATGGGCCTGGGTTCAGTTCCAGTTAGCACCGTCGGGATTTTCTGAGGCATAAAATCTCTGATCCACGCCTTCCTTCGTAAGAGAAGTAAAGCCGGTGGTTCTCGGTCCATGAGTTGATGAGTCGGATAGGTAGGGTTTAGGGTGGGAACTGCCTCCCTAGCGTCGGTAGCATTGGTACTCAGTACGGAAAACAAGATCGACGAAAAACAAATCGAGAGATCGAGGTTATCAGACATCCCCAAAGTCCTCAAATATTGGTTCTTGACTTCAAGTTAATCAGGTATCATTCGCAAGATCTTAAACTGCACAACAATCTAAATCAAATTTACCAGATATCCTCTCAAGATACCAGGTAGCTCAGAAATTATTCAAAATACCTCCAGGTGATCATAGAACTCCAAAAAATCCTCAAGATACATGTTTTAGACTACAGCTTGGCCAGGCATCATCCTGAAGATCTTCAACTGCCCAACAATTTAAATCACATCCCCCATGTATTTTTCAAGATACCAGGTTGCTCGGAAGTTATTCAAAAGACCTCCAAGCGATCATAGATCTACAAAATATGGTCAAGATATTTGTTTTAAACTTCAGCTTGATTAGGTATCTTTCTGAAGATATTCAACTGCCCAACAATTCAAATCACATCAAGATATTCTCAAAGATTCCAGGTTGCTGTGCAATTATTTAAAATAACACCTAGTGATAAGAGTTCATCTTGAAAACCACAGGAAGTTTTTTCAAGATTCAATCTGACGATCAGGTATCATACTAAAGATATCCCAGTATTCCATAATCTATATCGCATCTCTCAGATTTTCTCTCACATGGAACATGGCAGCTTAGAAATTATTCCAAAATACTTCATGTAATTTAAGATCTCCATCATAAAGGCGTCTGAATATTTTTCAAAGATTTCAGGTTGACCAGGTACTATTGTACCTGAAGAAATCAAACTGTTCATCAATTCGAATCACATCTTTTGCTTATTTTCTCATGATGCCAGGTGGCTCCAAAGACAAATATTCAACTATACAATAGTTCAAATTAAATTATTAACTGACTCATTGCACATTGATTTGGTCGCTCAAAGCTTAGAATGGTATGGTATTGTCACCTCAGGATGCATTCGTCATCTTACCTATCTATATCTCTTTAATTATCTCCAGCATTCAAAGGGAACTACGATCAGAATTAACACGATCTTTTTCTTGTTGTTCTTGGCATTTCATGCATACTGTGTATCGCATCCAGCTCTCAACATAGTGTGCTTAGAGCACTTCCACAGTTATTAATTGTGAACATTCGATGCCTGTACCATTTCTACATTGGTATAATTGTATGACAAGTACAATCATATTCTATGCCCAGGGAAGTCGAGAAATTTTCCAACCCGAAAAAACCCTAAACCGGACCGGGAATCGAACCCAGCCACCTCCAGCTTCTTTCCTTTGAAACTGCGCCTTTACCGACTGAGCTAAGGGAGACCCGCGGACTTCTGAGGGTAACTTCAAAGGAACACTGAAGAGTATATCAAGGGAATTTTCGGGACGACTACAAGATCTTTCAAAAGTACAGGTTATGCGAATTGGGCAAAAATCAGCGCGGGTCGAGGAAGGTAGAAAAACTCGTGGAAGCCAATTAAGAGGGCCAACACTCGACTACTGCTTAGGTGTTATTTTGGAATACATTGGAAACGAGTTCATTTGAAGGGACAAAGCACGTGGGATTCGTAGAATTTCTTGTGAACAGGATAAAATTAGTACTAACATTTGAAAACGGCGCAAAAGCCATTTGTAAACAAATGGTTTGTGGGCCCTTTACTCGCTACTCGAAGTACACCCACGCAAACCAACAGCATCGTCAGGAAGGGGAAGATTTCCCCTACCCGATGTAGCTGTTGTGTTGCGTGGGTGTACTTCGAGTAGCGAGTAAAGGGCCCACAAACCATTTGTTTACAAATGGCTTTTGCGCCGTTCTCAAATGTTAGTACTGAAATGACCCAGCTTGAAAGATGGAAGACTCTAGAAGGATTGTGGGGAGGGAGTATAAAACTGCTTTGCGTTAAGAAAGTTGTTGTCAAAATGAATATCCATCAAGGGGATATTTCGTGAAGTAAACGATAGTTGAGGTACAAAATATTCTAACTTATTGTAGACAAAATCCTTTCAAAATAACGCAAAATTACACCTTTCCAACGCAACAGAATCTAAACAGAAAATTTTCTAATTTCTGTAATAAATCCAATGCACTTCAACCATGTCGAAGATGCGTCAGTAAAGAGACAATATTATTAGTAAACAACGCTCTTAGTCTACTGTGCCCCATCTTGAAAATAAGGTTTTACTGAATCCGAAAAGTGTCGAAAAAGTAGTGAACAAACGTTTAGTCTGAAAAAAGCAAACAAACGATTATTCTAAGTTTCCTCCGTCGCTGCAGTTAATTTAATCTGCATTAAAATGCTGCCCCAAAGAGAGCATTTTGATTTCCACACTCAGATAGATTGTGAAATGCTCACACTTTTGCAGAACAGAATTGAAACGAGCCCCAAAAATCCAGGTTGTATGGTAGAATGCCAGTTACGTTTCGCTAACACGGTCGACCAATTCAAATACCTGATTTGACGGTGTCAAGCGTGTCACTTTAGATTTAGGAGGGTGTATAACGGTTGTGAAAACATGCTGCCCTAACACAGACATCAAGGCCCAAGTGATAAAATAAGATTTTTTAAACATGCTTTCTTTTAGAAATGTCCTACCAAAATGGCTTGCGTTACCCGCTGCAAAAGTACATCGAGTAGATGTATTATTATGCGACATTCGACATTCGATGCGAAAACATGGTTTGCATTTTACAGTTCAAGGGGAAATTCAACGAAAATTAAAGTAAAAATAAGGAGATCGTTCTCAGAATATTCAGGAAGTGTTGAATTTATTGAGGATAATCGACCACTTTGTCAAGCAGTTTTGACGTGACTTTCTACCAGTGATTTCGTTAAACAGAATCAAAAACTATGATGTGCTCAATTTTTTTCGTGGTTCTCAACATATTGTTTTATTTCAAGGCAGTCGGGTCGTAGTAAACATCAGTTTAACTGCTCGAATGAAATGGTTAATAGAAAAAAAAATATCAAAATTACATCACCATGTCAGATTGGCGATCATGGTCATTTACCATGCCTATACCACTTCCCGTTCCAACCCAAATAGGGAAGCAAATTGTTCGCGCTTGTACTGAGCGCACTGTATCATTATCGCCCACTATCTAATTCTCGAAATCACACAGCTTAGTCAACCTTTAAGCACTTTTACGACAAGCAAATTCCATTTAGATCAATAACAGTTTACACACTTTCCTAACAACCAACGTCATCATAGGAATGTCGGTTAAAGCTAAGCCGTACATCGAACGTCCCGAATTGGCCGGAAAAAAAATACAGACGACTCATTGTTATTGCAAATCTTGCGTTCATTTCTGGCCGTAAGGTTTACGCATAAGAAAAAAATAAATAAAAAATATAGCACATGGGGATTCTTCTGAGCGCGAGTTGTTATTTTGGTTTCGCGGCAGCAGACGGAAAACCGCAGCGCGCACACGGCTTATCGAATTCCATTGCCCTGGCCTGAGCTGTGGAATGCTTTATGTAAATACACAACGCATACATACTAACGTGCACGCATACACATTTCTACTGACATTCCATAATCTAATCTGTATTCCGTGTGCGCTGCGTGCTCGCAAAGTACGCGAATTTTTTTTTCCTTCGCTGTTGATTTCAACATAAATATAGATAGGTAGAGCGACTATTTTGACTTCGAGGAGGTTTGGAATTTTCCATTCTAGCTAAAGTGCGTTCATACTTACTTGTCACGAGGATCGATCCATGTGGTCTTCTTGTTAATATGATCAATAAAATAAACCTTCCCATCAAAATCCGTGTTAATCTCCCAGCCGAGTGGTAAATCTGCATTGCTGGAACTTTTTGGCATAATTTATTCCGTCCTCCAGTGCGGCTTCCCTCTCGAACTGCTGCGGTTTCTGCCTGAAGTTCCCTGAGAGATCTTCGATTGGAACCTATTTCTTCGTCTTCTGCTTCTTCCGCTCGTTTCTTCACTTCTCGCTCGCTCCACAAACACTTTCTTATTAGCTATTTCGCGGCTTCTTTCGCTTCTTCTGCTTATGCTTCGGCTTCTTCTCACTCAACTCACTTAATACCAGCCTTTAACCACTTTCTTCACTTCAGCTCTTGGCTGCCTGGCTGGCTGCTAGATGTGGATGGATTTGAGCCACTTTGAAGAACTTTTTTTTTTCTCGCTTATACTTTGATTTTACCACGATTCAATCGATTTAGAGACACTTTTTGCTCACTTCCAATTCGATTCACTTGGACCAGACAATTTTCACTCGACGACGACGGTGACAATGCTGGATACGACGATCGCCTGCTTCGATTCACAAACTAGTAGGCTATGCGCATTTCTACTCCATGGTGTCCATGGAGCTCACTCACGCTCACGCTCGGCTCACACTCGAGACTTTCGATACCCCGCGAAGACGACGACGACGTTTCCGACACACAAGATCCTACATTTCCTTCGCCCAAATCCTCTGGAGCTCTCGCTGCGCAATCTCGAACGCCAAGTTGTTGCTCTTATTTTCCTCCACCGACCGTTGTGCACTGCACTGAATCTAAATCTTCTTCCGTTTTTCGCTCCAATCAAACTCGCAACGCACACTCACTCCGTGGAACTTTTCCCTCACTTCTTCCCAGGTTGCGCGGCGCCCTGTATTTTCCTCAGCCTGGGGTTGGCCTGGTTGCTGCTGATGGTAAGCCCGTTTTTCTTTTCTTGTAGCGCGCGTGCAGCTCACGTAAACAGCGATCTATCGACGACGACGGTGACGACTGCTGCTGCTGCCAGCATTTTCACACTCTGTACCGAGAGAGAAGAGAAAGAAAATCAAAGTTAAAAAAAAAAAAATCACACTTTTCCAGGCAATCACCGCACGCACTTAGGGAAAACGCACACGAGAACCCGAACCGCAAGAAACTGGAAATGTAGAGCAAACTCTGTGCTGCGATGCAATAGTCCTATAGGTAGGTACCACCTCCGTTCGCTTTGCAATTGCGACAAACGACGAACGACAACGACGACGTCGGAGAACACTCGCAATTAATAAACCATTTCAGAGCGCAGTGCCAGCCATATTGAATTAAATTGAAATTCCAATGTTTTTTCTACTCTTTTCTTCGAACCGTCCAACACTCACATACTGCAAACTGTGTAGTAGGCAGGTTATAGGCTACGTACGTACACGATCGCGATCATCGCATGCTTCTTGGTGTGGAATATGTACTTCTACGACCATCATAGTGAGGAGTCATTGCGCGACGAGAGCACCGCAGCAGGCCATGTGTCTGTGTGCCGTCGTCAGACGCAACTAGCACGCTATTTAAAAACTACCCAAATTTGAGTAGGATCCACTGAACTGAACTCGGTCAAAAATGGATAAAATTTGAGTTGCTAGTGACTAGTTGACAAACGATCAACATCGATTGGATTTTTCATCTGTCAACTTGTCGCTCCCAACATGGTTTATCCCTTTTTTGGGTAGGTTAATTTTTGGTCAATCTGGGTGGATCCTACTCAAATTTGGGTAGTATTGAAATAGCGTGAAGACACACCACGTTTGAAGGTGTTTGCGTTCGCGCAAATGCACTGTTGCCAAGCCTGTTGCCTGCTGGCGTTGTTGATATTGGTTTCGGCTCAAGTTCGGTGCAGTGCGGGATGGAAGTGTTGGGAACCGTCAGTTGGGTTATGATTTATGTTTTCTAGATCAATTTTTTTTCTATATACGGATTTAATTTGAAAAAATAGGGAATTAGTCTTCCACATTGATTTATTAAGCATTACATGATTTCAAGCTTCAAGACTTCTGAGTAATGTGCAGAGGACTTCTGGTTAGAGTCCAGATGACTTCTCCTGACTTTTTGGTGACGTCAAGATTATTGGGTGTCGATAGGACATCTCGGGATGTACATAGCAATTCTCAGAATTATTAGGAATGACTTTTCGAAGAAATTCATAAAGACTTCTGTGGATTCTTGGGACTATTCGGAAAAGTTCCCAGGACTTCACAGTCTATGGAACTTCTCACGGAAGTTTACAGAACATCTCGAGGTAGTTCATTGAACATTTCAGGACTGTCTACAGGACTTCTCAGGGGGTCAATAAGATTTCTCGGATAAGTTCATAGCACTTCTCGGAAATGCCCATAGAACTTCCCCGAATTTTTTAATTTTCAAAATGTTCGAGAATGTCCATAGATTTCTATTACCAGGAGTGCATAGTCTTTTCGGATAAGTTACATTACTCACTACTACAGCCATCAAACGCTGAGTCAGGAGAATTAAATTAACCTCTAAGATTCCTGAAGTCTTTTCCAAAGATCACCTGATTCCGGAAGACTTCCAAAAGTGACCAATAATACCACATGACCTTTCTAATTTCACCATAAAAAGGCTCTAGAAAGGTCATAAGTCTATCTTAGGTTAGACAGCGTTAGGTTTACATAATTTCATATTCTTTCATAATAACAACGATAATAACTGAAAACAAAATGATATCTGGAATAACAAGACTTATTTTCAAGATGATATCAGGTTGTTATTTTGCTTTGCTCGGGCTATCTCCTTATTTGAGGCCTAAATCGCGATTTGAGGTGTTGCGGGTTTGAAATCTTATACTACGTTCATCTCCTTAATTAAGGCCTTAATCGTGATTTGAGAGGTGTTCGGGGGTTTGAAATCTTTCATCGCGTTTATCTCCTTAATCAAGGCCTAAATTGCGATTTTTACATCGACTCGATGAGGGATGTAAGTATATGCGCCTGAATTTTCGAAATATTAGTTTAGTATTTTTTCATATTGAAATAACGGCGCGATAAAGTTAACTTTTTTTTAATATGTATAAATATGTTTTAAGCGGCATTGATTTTAAGCTTATCCAACATGGAGGGTGGCTAATTACAGATGTTATTTCCAGTTATTTGTTTAAATTTAATTCAATATTTTCCAAATAACGTCTCAAAAACTTAAATGAGGAGCTCGTGTAGCTTGATGGCTGCCACTTTTGCTTACTGAATAGAAGATCGTATGTTTAAGACGTACTGATCGGAAATCTCAAATCCTTCTCAAGAGCAGTTGTTGTCGGCGTCTGTGAGGTCACCGCCGGAACCGAAATCTAGTAACAGCAAGTTGAACTGCAACTTGTAATTTGTTTGTGATTTAAGGAGCTCGGTGGCCTAGTGGTAACCGGGTTTGCTTATTGAGCAGAAAATTATGGGATCAATCTCAAACTCGTTCACATTATAGAGCTTCAATGTGAATCGGATGTATTCTAAATATGAGATAAAGCGTATTGAAATTGGGTTCGGATGAGCGAGTACTTTATAACAAATCCTTCTCAAGAGTAGTTTTTTTACTGAGCAGAAAATCATGGGTTCAATCCCAAGCTCCTTAACATTTTAAAATTATACTTTAAATCGGCCTTCTTTCTTAATATGATGTAAAGCGTAACGAAATTCGGTTCGAGAGCTGGGTAGGTAAAAGAAGTGATATTTGATTTTTAGGAAAGGAAAAAGGAATCGGAAATCCATATCAAACTTCAAAATCTCAGTTGTTGTCGTCGTTGGTGATGTCACCGCCGGGATAACAGCAAGTTGACCGGAAACTTGATCGTAATTGTATTGTGCCTTTTGGCGACCGATTTTGCTTACTGAACAGAAGATCGTAGGTTCAATCCCACGCTCCTTCGCGCTATTGAATCGTTAGGGCATCAATTCAGCATATCGTTTACCACCACGAATCCTGCTGCAATCCCAACCCTTTTATTCAACATCCCAATGATTTCTCGTGGAAGTGTTCTCGGCTTTCATTAAGGCGAGTATTACGTCAACATATTCCTACCCATACCCTTTCTTGACCAGCATTCAGACGTGACCGGCGCTGGTATTTCCAAGTTTTAGACCACCAGTTCCCTAGTAGCACGCTTGTCACATATCAGTTGAAGAAACTTTTTTACATCTTATTTCAGTCATAAACAAGTTGCTGCAACTCTTCTTAACGGAAGTGCCCAAGCAACAATTTTTGTTTTATTTAAGTTTTATAGCAGTTGATATAACCAAATTATAAAACCTTCACTGACGACCACATTGCTTTAACAATCTCCTGAGAACCGCAATACAGCCATGTCATGGCTAATTGGCCCAGTTTTAATGCTGTCATTAAAACTTGATATGCGAACTACTTTAGGAGCATAGGATTTATGTCAGTTTTATCACACTCTAGACGTGATTGTTAAAAATGAAAACATAAAACCTCCTCCAGGTCAGAAAGTTTTAACAGCCTTCTAATGACTACCATAAAACTATATTACAACTGCATAAATCGCTCCTGAAGAAGTTGATAAAACATGATACGCAAAACATTTTGACAACTTTGAAGGTTTTACGTTGGGGTTTTTGGATGATAGTTAATATTGAGAAATATTTTATTGTGGTTTTATTCTTTCGATGTTTGATGTGAAATCATGATCCTTGTCAGTTGGTAATAATGGCTGATATTATTGTACATTGAAAATAAGACGACTTTATTTTAAACCAATCTGTATATGCTTCACAGCATGCCGTGCAATATTTATGGTGATTATTATACCAAATAGGAGCATAAATTTAGTGCACCATATGAATACTAAAATATACGGATATTTTTAATTTGTCTGCATTAGCACCATGCATTAAAGAGTCATTCAAAGATTATCTATTTAGTACAAAACTGTTACTACTATTGAGCAATAAGCAGTCACATTTTATTTAATTATACATAGATGTATGAAAGTGTTTTATTGCCTATCAATTAAAGCGTAATTATTCATACTGTGTGAAATTTGTTCATACGGCGACATTTTTTTTCGTTATAACTTGCTACTCCTTAAAAATACCTCAATATAACATATTCTCCTAGATTGGAATACTATAGCATAACATAAACCTAATGGTTGTATCTTAGCATTTCGTAGTCCAAATTGAGAGCGTTAAGTTATATTTAAGCTATATAACTAGCTTGCTGGTTTTATTCGGTACAGCGAATCAAAACAAAACAAAAACCATGACCACCTGTCAAAAAGTCAACATTCCAAGCTATCCTCCTATTTTCGCTTGTAATCAAGATGTAAGAAATGCTTATTGGATCCACTAAAAGCTTTTTCAATACAAGGTTTAAAGCCGTGATGTCAATACTGGCCATCTCCAAACGGATTTAGTGAAACTGTCGGAGTTGCATTAAGAAGGGTTCGTGGATCTTTCGGAAGTGTATCGGAAAGCCGCTTGTTCAATATTTTTAAGAGCTCCTTCACCGCACTGTGCCTTATGTAGGGATCGTATAACTGTAGTTCCTCCAGGAGTTTCATATTGTCGATCGTCTCATCTTCATCGTGTTCAGAAGCACTGAAGGGGTTTTCATTTCATATATCTGAATAGATTTGTTTTTTATAATGACAAAAAATTTCAGAGTATTTTTTGTTGTAGCAGTATATTTCTTATCTGTGAATGTTAGGCCTCTGATAAAGATGATAGTTGTAATGAAGCTTTAATGAAGGTCTAAGACTGCTTCAAGTTTTATATCGGTCATAAAAAGTGTACCATAAAATACAATTGTATGTTTTGTTTTGGTTTTATTCTTCAGTTATAAGCAGTGATGCAGAACCACCTTACAGCTACCGTTAAAACTATGAAGTCTGAGTTTTAATTTAGTAGTCATAAAACAGTTTTATAGACGACTTGACGGCCTGATTTTATGACAAGCACACAAAACCGTAATACAACCACAGGCTGCAAGGGATGCTATGATAAAACAATGATAAAATAAGAATAA